CCGCTGCACACGAGGCCCACACTGCGCTTTACACACACAAAGATGCCCATGGGGATGCAGAGACCCAAAAACTTGATCCATCTTTTGCTGCTTTCCCAGGTACATCATCAGAGAGCTGGATGGGAAGTGCAATGACTGGGACTCGAACCAGTGCCCATACAGGATGCAGGTGCCCTGAGTGGCAGCTTAACCAGGGGCACCACAGCGCCAGCCGGTGGCACCTTTAACCACAACATGATATCCCCTTGTAAGACGACAGTGGCTTGCTGACCCGTCCCCCTCGTGGCAGAGAGCTGGTTTTGAAGTACATGTGTGACTTAAAAATTTACTTATTTTTATTGCAAAAGGCACATTTACAGAGATAAGAAGAGACAGAAAAATCTTCCATACGCTGGTTCACTCCGCAAATGGCTGCAGTGGCTGGAAACGAGCTGATCTGAAGCCAGGAGCCAGAAGCCTCTTCTGGGTCTCCCACGTGGGTGCAGAGTCCCACGGCTCCAAGCTGTCCTCTACTGTTTTCACAACCCATAAGCAGAACCGGTGCCCACTGGGATCCTGGTGCTTGTAAGGGAAAGATTAGCTAATTGAGCGTTTGTGCCAGGCCCTGACAGCTGGGTTTGATCTCCATCTTGGGTCCTTGCAATGAAGAGTGCTCCTTGTGCCCACCTGCGGGCCCCTCGGGGCCCTCCTTCTGTGAGTGGGCTGCAGCGGACAGAGAGCGACCCAGGGCAGCAGAGCTGCGGGCCCATCGGAGAGATTGTGACTCTGCATTGCAGGGTGGGACGAGCATCTCCAAGGGCACCCATGTTCCTTCTTCGGATGCTGCCCTGCCCCAACCAGGGCACAGGTACCTAGATCCGTGGGGGGCACTGTGCCAAGCTGGGCTGATCTGATTTCTATTTGGAACTTGGGGACTGGGGTGTGGGCCAGGCAGTCTCCCCCTGGTGCCTGCTCCTTCTCCTTACAGAAATTGCTGCCATGCCCAGGAGCTGGAGCAGAGCCGAGAGGGGCTGGCTGTCTGGCCCTGGCTCCTGAACTGCCGTGTTTGTCCCCACCTGCTTCTGGATATGGGGAGGCCACCCGCCTCCATGAGCCTGGGGCTCCAGTTCCCTTTTTACACTGGTTTTTTTGTTTTTGTTTTTGTTTTTGTTTTTTACTTGAAAGTCAGAACTGTGTGCATGTGTGACAGAGAGGGGGAGGGGCGGGGGATTGTCTCTCTTGGCTCACTCCTCAAACCAGAGCGGGGCCAGTCCAAAGCCAGAAGCCAGGAGCTTCTTTAGGGTCTTTCCCACATGGGTATAGGGGCCCAAGTCCTTGGGCTGACCTCCACTGCTTCCCCTGACACATTAACAGGGAGCTGGTTGGGAAGTGGAGCAGCTGGGACTTGAACTAGCACTCATATGTGACGTCAGTACTTCAGGGAGAGGATTAGCTTGATATGGCATGATGCTGGCCCCTGCCGTTCCCTTTCTCTGCTCAACCCCCTTCCAGAATCTTCTTCTACCCGAAATCTGAGTGCCTGTGGACCTTGGTGGGCGTGTGGTGCACGGCAACAGGGAGCTGCGGCCAAGGTCCCACCCTCGGGGCAGCGCCAACCACTACAGCCATTTCTGCTCACCACCTCCCAGGCCAGCCCACACCCTGTGCCACATGCCCACCCTCAGAGGCAGTGCCAACCACTACAGCCATTTCTGCTCACCACCTCCCAGGCCAGCCACACCCTGTGCCACGTGCCCACCCTCAGGGGCAGTGCCAACCACTACAGCCATTTCTGCTCACCACCTCCCAGGCCAGCCCACACCCTGTGCCACATGCCCACCCTCAGGGGCAGTGCCAACCACTACAGCCATTCCCCCTCACCACCTCCCAGGCCAGCCCACACCCTGTGCCATATGCCCACCCTCAGGGGCAGTGCCAACCACTACAGCCATTCCCCCTCACCACCTCCCAGGCCAGCCACACCCTGTGCGTCAGTCCATCTTGCTACATGGCTGTCAGCTGCCAGGTGTGCATGTCTGCTCTGTGTCCAGCCCATGCCCTCTGCCGCCAGGGGTCACATGTCATCTCAGTGACCCTTGGGGCATCCCTGTAGGGTAGGGACGCCAGGCCTAGCCACTCCTGGGTTCCTATATGTGACCTGGGACTAGAGCCTGGGTAGCCAGTCTCCTGCTGGTCAGACTGGTGGAGGACAGAGATGAGAATGGTGACTGTGGGCTGGGGGGCAGCGCCATGGTGCCGGGGTAACCCCCGGCGACACCACTTATGATTCAGGTGTTCACCTACCTCATGGTCACCTCACCTGCCTGTAACGTGGCCTGGTGGCGTGGGGGGCTTGCCTGTTCCCTCCCAGTTACATGGGAATTGAAAGAGACCCAGAATGGAACTGGTCCAGAATATAGAAGGTGTTGCACCTGAGGTACCTGACTGTCAGGACGCTAATCTAGGATGGTAGAAAGCAGGTGGAAGGGCAGCATGTGGCACACCAGGCTGAGCTGTGCTCGCGATGCCAGCCTCCTGTATGGGAGTGCCAGCTCGAGGCCTGCCCAAGTTCTCGGCTCCTGCCATCTCCGTGGGGGTCCCACAGGAGTTCCTGGCTCCTGGCTTCAGCCCAGCTACGGGCACCACTTGGGTCTCTCCGTGTCTTAGATGGACAGAGGAAAAGGTGATGAAATAAGACAAGGACCATCCAGGCGCGAACAGCTGTGCTTTCTTGACCGTCCACCTGTGTTGAACTGGATCAACACGCATGCGTGTGCACACACGTATCTCACCAGTCAGATCTGAGAGCAACCAGTGTGACGCTCTGACACAGACTGCAGACAAGAAAAAATTACCAGATACCATATGGCCTGCAGGAACCCCGTTCAGACGTGAAGGGGGACAGGACACTTGGCATGTAGGCTGGCATTTTAAATCATCTGGGCTTTGGCATGGCAGCTACGACCCTGGGATGCCCACCACCCTAGCGGAGTTGCTTGCATTGAGGAATCCAGTTCCTACCCCAGCTTACCGGAAGCCAGAAGCAGGTACTGCATAGCAGGTGGAAGACGCTGTCTGTGGTCCTGAAAGTCCCAGCCAACCTTCAAGTGCAAACACAGAGCCTGCCCAGCGGCCTCATCATCTTGCCAACCCTTTCCTGGCTTCTCTTTCAACTGGTGTGCCACTCTCCGACGTGGCGAAGGCCAAGCCAGCCGGGGCCAGCTTCTGTCACAGGAAACAAAGATTCTGAATGGGCAGAGCCATTGGGAACTGGGCGAGAAGCAGGTGGAAGCAGATGTGACAATGATGGCCAGGGCACCGCCCCCTTCTCCACCACCACCAAGGTGGGCCTGCTAAGGAAACAGCAAAGCCTCAAGTTATTGAAAGGCACCTGTGGAGCTCAGTCGTGTCTCTCAGACACCCCAGAACTTAAAACAAACGCCTTTATCCATTTGAAAGGCAGAGTTGCAGAGAGGGGTCCTACATGACCACCGTGGCCAGAGCCGGGTTAGGTAGAAGCCACGAGCTTCATCTGGATCTGCCATGTGGCTGGCCATCCCCGATGCCTTCCCAGGTACACTAGTGGGGAGCTGTGTTGGAACTGAGCAGCGGAGACTCGAACTAGTGCCCACGTGGTATGTTGGTACTGCAAATGGTGTCTTTACCCACTGCACCACAACATCAGCCCCCAAGAGACTTGCAGACCTTCCTGAAAAAACTGTCAAGAAACATCTACAGGTCCCAACGGGCTTGGCTTATGCTGGACAACTTCCCTGGTGGGCACCACCTCCCAAGGCTGTTGAAAGAGGAAAGGTGGGGAAGGAACAGTGCGAGGAGGACTCGTGGGGTACCCAGGCAGTGCAGCCGGGAATTCAGACCCCTGGAAATGCTGCTGCTGCTGCCACAGCTGCCCCAGGAGCCAAGCTGTGCATCCCAAGGGGGACCTAGAAGCTGAGCAGGACAGGGTGGACACCTCCAGAAAGCAGTGCAGGTACCACTGTATTACAGCACCAGGCAGTCAGGAGGCAGGGTGGGGTGTTGGCGTGAGGCACGACCTGACCGAGGAGGGAGAGCGGGTGGAAGAGAGGGCTGCAGGACACACAGGAGAGTCCGGAGGCAGCCAGGGCTTGGCGGGACGGGGTACAGCCTAGAGGGAGCATGTGTGGCTGACCAGCTGGACCCAACCCTGACACGCTGGCTCCAACGGCCTCAGCTGCTCACACCTGGAACCTCATGAGATAGACACGGGTTCGTGAAGGAGCATTCCACCAGCACGCACCACAATGGCCAGGGTCATTGCTAGGATTTCTCAAAAATGATCTAGGGGTGAGAAAATGCTGGTTCACTCCCCAAATGGCCACAACAGATCGGAAGCCAGGGTCAGGAGCTCCTTCTGGGGCTCCCACGTGGGTCCAGGGCGCCAAGGACTCGAGCCATCCTCTGCTGCTTTCCCAGACACATCGGTATGGAGCTGAACCACAAGTGGAGCCGCCGGGTCTTGAACAGGTGCCTGCGTTGGATGCTGGTTCCCACTTAACCTAACACACCGCTACAGCAGCGGCCTGGCTCTGCTTCTCATCCCAGCTTCCTGTGAGGGCAGACCCCGGGAGCCAGCCGTGAAGGGCTGAGGAGTCGTGTCCCTGCCTTGCACGTGAGAGACCAGGTCCTCCCACTGGGGCAGGCGTCTGACCGACCGGCGATTGTGAAGTCTGTGTCTCTGTGCCTCAAATAAATTAGAACGAGGTCTACAGAGCAGTGAGAGCCAGCACTGATGGGCCCGGCAGGTGGTCTCGGGAAGGATCACACCTGGCTGCCCCCTGGCCCGGAGCCTCGGACAACCCTGGAGTGTCCAGACTGAAAGCGGTCATCTCCAGCTTCTTTCCTCCCTCTCTCGGGACGGAAGTGGCGCGTTCGGGCGGAAGTGCCCCGGCTCGGGGCGGAAGTGGCGCGTTCGGGGCGGAAGTGGTCCGGCTCGGGGCGGAAGTGGCGTTGGTCGGGGCGGAAGGACGGCGAAGCGGCGCGGGATGCGGTTCGGGCCGGGCGCGGCGGTGCGGCTGCTGCTGGCGGCGCAGGCGGCCGCGGCCTTCGAGCCCGTCAGCGTGGCCCTGGCCGTCGGCGCCGTGTCGGCCCTCACCGGCTACCTGTCCTACACGGACTGGTACTGCCGCTTCGCCGAGTGCTGCGGGGAGGAGCGGCCGCTCAACGCCTCTGGTGAGGGGCGCGCGGGGCGGCCTGCAGGTGGCGGGGGACGCGCACGTGTCCTTGTCGGGTGTCCGCGTTGGGGGGACGCTCACCCTGGGCTCCATGCCCCGGCGGGGCAGGTGCTTCTGCCCTCGGGGCTTTGTGTCCGTTGTAACACCCGTCCGGTCGCCCCGTAGCCCTCCAGCTGGACCTGCAGAAGCTGTTCGGACAACATCTGGCCACGGAAGTAATTCTCAAGGCGCTGAGCGGCTTCAAGAACAACAAAAACCCCAAGAAACCGCTGACCCTGTCTTTGCACGGCTGGGCCGGCACCGGCAAGAACTTTGTCAGCCAGATCGTGGCCAACCACCTGCACCCCCGAGGCCTCAGGAGCAATTTCGTGCACCTCTTCGTGTCCACGCTCCACTTTCCCCATGAACAGAACGTCAAAATGTACCAGGCAAGAGAGGGCGGCGCCTGCAACCAGGCTGCTGCTCCGGCCTCGCGGCCACCGCGCCTTCTGCTTTTGCTTTTCTTTGCGATTCAGTAGGCTCCGGTTCCAGCGGCCACTCAAGGCTAGCTCAGTGACCCCTGATTGCTGCGTAGCTGTCCTGCTAACCTTGCTTTCCAAACTCCACCTGCTGCTTCTGGGAAGGCCACGTGCCACCCCCTCACCGCCACCCTCTGTGTGCTGGACGCTAGCACAGCGCCTTGAACCCATGTCTGCCAGGTAGCCACTGGCTGCAGGGACTGAGGGGCCGGGACCCCGTGGGGTGGGGTGGTCATATACCATAGGCCCCTTTTCGGGTGGCCCCTGGAGAATCCTTCCCCCAAACCCCTCTTGCAGAACATCTGTCTTTTTGTTCTCATCTTAGACTTTTCTCCCTGCTGAGACGTTCTTGGGGCTTTTCCTTTGTATGTGAAGTTGTGGGGTAAATCCTACGTGGCCTCGGCAGGATCCTTCCGCCTGTTACTGTGAGGCGGGGGCAGAAGTAAGAAATGGGAGCTTCACCAAACAAGAAAGTGAAACCGGCTGTTGGCCACGCAAATTGGATGGTGGTGGGACATGGCCAAAACGGAAGGGATCATTTCCTTGCTGCCCGCATTCTTTCGTATTTGGCGAGGGTGTGTCTGCACAGGTCCATGGTCCCAGTCTTGCCTGGGGTCAGCTGCTTTGTCCACAGGTGGCAGTGTCAGGCCCTGGGCTTGGGCGCTTCCCCTTAACCCTTGGTATATCTGGTGCTTCCGACTTGAGGTTTTAGCCCACTGGGAGATAAGAACTTTGGGGAATTGCTTATGAAAATGTTAAATTTCAGGGGACTTTAGAAAGTTTGTGGGAAACTGGAATTGGAAGGAATTGTTGATCCTGATGCAAAAAAAAAAATTCCGAACCCAGGCCGGGCCCCTGCAGCATTGCCCGTGGACTTCGGCCGACGCCTCATGCTTGCACCTCATAGTCTTGCACTTCTCAGGAAGCATGGCGGAGTAAGGAGCAGACCCCTGCGTCTGCCAGTCCCCCCCATTTGTGGGCTCTAGATGAGACTGGCCAGCTGTCCCCCTTGCTCGGACCTCGGGCAGGAGGAGGAGTGGGCCTGTTGCTCCTGCAGCTGCTCCGTGCCCTACTTGTCGTTTCCGCTCGATCCAGGATCAGCTGCAGAAGTGGATCCACGGGAACGTGAGCGCCTGTGCCAGCTCCGTGTTCATATTCGATGAGATGGACAAGCTGCACCCTGGGGTGATCGACGCCATCAAGCCCTTTCTGGATTACTATGAGCAGATTGACGGCGTGTCCTACCGCAAGGCCATCTTCATCTTCCTCAGGTTCGGGCAGGGACTGGGGGCCCGCAGTCAAGAGCCATTTTATTCCTGGCCCGGAGTGAGCGAGGTCCTAGCGACCTTTAGGCACAGAAGTGCCAGCCAGATGAAAGGCATCTGCTCACCTAAAAAAAGAAAAATTGCTTAATTGCAAGGCAGACTGACAGACGGGGCAGAAGGAGTTGCATCATCTGCTGGCTGCTTACAGTAGCTGGAACTGGGCCCGGCTGAAGCCAGGAGCCCATAACTGCATCCCATGTGGGTGGCAGGGATGCAAGTCTTTGCCAAGCCCCCCACTAGGATGCATTAGCAGGGACCTAAGTTGGTGCTCCGAGGAGGGATGCTGGGCCGGCTCCCAAGCAGCAGTTTAACTCGCAGCACCACAGTGCCTGCCCGCCTCAGCCAGCTCCTTTCATTTTCCTGTTAGCAGTATCAGCAGGGAACGGAGAAGAGCTACAGAAGTGGGTGCTGATAAGCAGGCAGTCTGGTGTGTGTGTGAGAGAGAGACTGGCTCCAGAGGGCCATAAAGCAAGTGTAGAAGAGTCCAGCACGTGGTAAGGTTCCTTTGAGGTCAGGTTGTGTTTCATTGACTGACTCATTTAGTACCAGTGGATCAGCCTTGGTTACACAGGAGCCGTAGGGCGGGGACAAGGCCCTCGGTGCGGTTTTCATGCCGTGTCTCTGGCCTTCGCAGCAACGCCGGTGGCGACCTCATCACCAGGACAGCGCTGGACTTCTGGCGGGCGGGCCGGAGGCGTGAGGACATCCAGCTGAAGGACCTGGAGGCCGTGCTGTCCGTCGGCGTCTTCAACAACAAGCACAGTGAGTCCACCCACCTGTCTCATGGCCCTTCCACACTTGTCTTAGGGCATGCTAGTTCCGGAAATCAGTATCAGATAGTGTGTTGAGGGGAAGAGGGGCCTGCTAGCGAAGTTTTGGGACAGACTGGCCATCTGCTTGATGCCAACAGATCTGTGGTTCCAGGGGGTCAGGATGGCTCCCTGTGGACATGGCCTGGGGGGCGGGGTGGGGACGGGCAGGACACACAGCACGGCTTGTCCCACAGGTGGCCTGGGGGGGTGGGGACAGGCAGGACACACAGCACGGCTTGTCCCACAGGTGGCCTGGGGGGGCGGGGACGGGCAGGACACACAGCACGGCTTGTCCCACAGGTGGCCTGGGGGGGTGGGGACGGGCAGGACACACAGCACGACTTGTCCCACAGGTGGCCTGGGGGGCGGGGGTGGGGACGGGCAGGACACACAGCACGGCTTGTCCCACAGGTGGCCTGTGGCGCAGCGGGCTCATAGATAGGAACCTCATCGATTACTTCGTCCCCTTCCTGCCCCTGGAATATAAACACGTGAAGATGTGTGTGCGAGCCGAGATGCAAGCCCGGGGCCTGGCCGTGGACGAGGCTGTGGTCGCCAGCATAGCCGAGGAAATGACGTATTTCCCCAAAGATGAGAAGATCTACTCGGACAAGGGCTGCAAGACGGTGCAGGCACGGCTGGATTTCTACTGAGCCCCACACCACCGGGAGCAAGCTCCGGGGACTGGACCGGGGACCGCAAGGCCCAGCACGCTTGCCTGTCCACCCTGGGCCTCACCCTCGGCCCAGCACATTGGAGAGCTTGGTGCATTTGCCCCGCGGACAGTGGGGATACACGAGCAGAAGTTTTTTCTGAGTTCATTTTCAGAAAAGACGGTGATTTGCCCAGGACCCTGGTCATTTTGTGAAATGACAGTGGTCCTCCTTGTGGCAGCTGAAGGTGGACTTCAGAAATCCCCCTGATGCTTACCAGCGCATGTGAGGGCCTGAAAACAGCCGTGTGTGCCCCGAGAGGCCTGCAGCTTGGGTCTGGCCCGCGGCACCCGTGCCCGGGAGTGTGGGCCCTGCTGCTGTCGGAGGCTTCAGGATTCAGCGTCCTGCCCCGTGGCTGGAAGGAGTTTGGCAAGGGGCACCTGCAGCTGAGTGCGTGTCCAAATGGCAGTTGTGCTGGCCAGCTGAGCCCTTAGCCTGGAGTGCTGGGCAGGCCGGCGGAGGCTTCCTGTAGGCCTCCAGACTGGGCAGAGAGGACCGCTCTGTGGGGGCCTGTCCTGCTGTGGAGACAGCCCTGGGCTGGAGAGTCCTACACGTGGCTTTCGGTTGAACCACATCTACATGTCAGTCACTGCCGGCTGTCCTGCGTCTGACACAGTGCATGTCACTAAATGCGGACAGACCGAGATGTCCGCTGTACATCCCAAGCGGATCAGCCACCCGCTGGGCCCTGCAGAACACTCTGCGATCCGAGTCCGTGGGGGCCAAGCAGCAGCGCCGTGGCACGCTAGGGTTTGTGAGGATGCATTTTTAGCTTTTTTTTTTACTTCTCAGGGTCCTCAGTAAGGGAAGCATAGGGTGTATTGTGGGTTTTAAATCACGAGAGACACGGTATGGGATGGTGCTTCTTCCTTTCTCGGGTACCGCCAGTGGCACCGTGTGCCTGCAGTTGCGGAGTGAGGCGAGGTTGCTCTGGAGCAGCCACTGTGCCTAGGGATTCGTCTCAGGGTGCTCTGTGTGGTTGAGTGCCAGGGCGGCCTTGAGGACCAGGGAGTCTGCCCATGACGGCCCTGGCCGCAGCAGCAGACACGCAGGGAGGCCGGAGGGTGAGGGATGATGGCGGAGTGATTGTTCAGCAGCACAGACGCACCTCGGGAGCTGACGCAGTCTGGTGTTTCCGGCACGAGTTCCTGAACTGGAGCGGAGTTACATTTCTTTTGGGTGTCTAGGTGAGAGGAGACACGGTTTTCTGTCGGTGATGACGCAATAAATGACACTGGTGGTCACCTTTGGACTGCTGTGATGGATGAAAAGCCCGTGGGCACCACATCCCCCACCCCTTGTGTTAGAGGCTTTGAACCGACTTGCTGAAATGTGAGATAATGAAGCTGCAACAGGTGGCATGTCCCTCGCCACCTCATCTCTCCATTCACCTATTTGGTAACGGTTTGTGCTGGGAGTTAAGGCTGCTCGGCAGGGCAGCCCTTGCCGGGCCCCCGTAGCCTGGCCTGGTGGGTTAGCCCTCTGCATCACACAAAACCAATATTTACCCTGAAGACTGTAATCGCCAGATCGGTCAGAACTGAGTAAGGCGATGGGCAGCCCCATCCGAGACGGGCTTCTTGCTAACCGTCCACGTGCTTCCTACACGCCATGGAGGGAGGGACTCGTGCTGCGTCGGCTGCTCTGAGCTCAGCGCACCAGCTCCTTGGGCCCCGAACCGCTGGATGAGGTCTTGATCATGGTCATCAGGGCCAGCTTGTCTTCCCGGAAGTGGGTGAACTGACTTCCTTCAAGGTTAACGCCCCCCCACACACACCAGAATTCTCCAGCCTGCTCCCATCATTTCTGTTCCAAAGCCCCAGGACGCTGGCTTGGTGGATCTGGTCCCTGGCCCATAGTGTGTCATCTCAAAGACTGACCCATGCCCTGGGGGTGGGGTCTGCTCCTGGCTGTTGGGGCCACCTGGAGAGCAAGCTGGTAGGCGGAAGCTGGAGGCTCCGCCACTCCTAACTGCCTTTCAAATAAAACATCAAACACATACACAACACACACAAATAAGGAGTCCGTTCAGGCGGCTTTCTGTTCCCACCTGGCACCAAAGCCCAGGCCTGAGTGCCACAACAGGGTGCTGGGAGCTCTGGGAACAGTGGCAAGGGAGGGCGAGCTGGTGTGGCTGGGGCTGTCACGGAGGCTGCAGTCCCTACAGTGGACTTCAGTCCCACCTGGCCCGCACCTGTTGGTCTCCACTTACAACCTCTGCTCCCCAGGCCAATGGAGGACAAAGGCACAGGTTACCCAGAATTGCGTGTGATGGAGATCGTGGGCATAGCAGACACCCCACTTGCTCCCAGGGTCCTTAGAAGGGTGGCCAAGCTTTCCTAGGAGGTTCTGACTTCATGTAACAGAGTAGCAATAAAGGAGTCCTACTGTGACAAAATGAACCACACCACATTTTAGATTCCAGTGGAGAGCGGTGGAAAGCCAGCACCTGCTTTCCACCTGTGTCTGCCAGCTGGGCGCGCGCTCTCCTTCCCTAAGCACTTGGAAGCTCACACCAACTCCAGCTTCCCGCTAATGCACTCCCACACAGGCGCTCCAGGCCCCTGGCTGTTGGATGGAGAGCTGCCCGTCTCTGCCTGTTAAAGGTGAAAATGAAGGCTAGCGCTGAGTGCTCGCACAGCTCCAAGCCCGCCGTCCGCTGTCCCCTTAAGTACCTGCCTTTTAGCCAGATGTTCATTCCACCTGGCATCGCAGGCCACGGTCGGCCGTCTGCCCCCATCATGCTATCCCATGGGGCAGTGCCACAGGCTTGCACTAGGGTTCTGTGTCACAGTGCTCAGACACAGCCTGGCAGTGGTGCGGTGGGTGACGCCTACGGGTACTGGTTCAAGACCCAGTGGCTTCACTTGCCATTGAGCTCCCTGCTCATGCACCTGGGAAGGCAATGGAGGAGGGCCCAAGTCCTTGGGCTCCTGCACCCACGTGGGAGACCTGGCTGGGGTTCTGGGCTATCGGCCCAGCCCCGGCCACTGTGGCCATTTGGGGAGTGACCCAGCAGATGGGCGATCTCTGTCTGTATCAACTAAGTAAGCAATCTCAAAACAAAATGGGACCCTGTGTGATAGCCTAGTGGTTAAATCCTCTCCTTGCATCCACTGGGATCTCAAATGGATGTCCGTTCATATTCTGGCCGCTCTGCTTCCCATCCAGCTCCCCTCTTATGGCTGGGAAAGCAGTAGAAGATGACCCAAAACCTTGGGCTCCTGCACCCACATGGGAGACCCAGAAGCTCCTGAGCCCTGGGTCAGATTGTCTCAGCTCTGGTCATTGCAGCCACTTGGGGAGTGAACCACTGGATGGAAGATCTTTCTGTATCTCCTTTCTATATCTGCTTTTCCAATAATATATATACATATACATATACTGTATATATATTTACTGTATATATATACAGTAAGATAAATCTAAAAAAAACCGCCCCCACACACAACTCCAAACCACACACACACAAAGTTAACAACAGCTTAAAATCTAAAGTTTCTCATAATGTTAAAAACCATTTTAAATAAAGTTATCACGTTTTCAGTAAAACATTCATCTTTCCTTGAAACAGAAACACTTGAAATTAAAATATAATTTAAAAAAATCATGATCCATCCTGGGGTGTGAGCGGCCGGGAGCTGACACCTCCTCATCTTCCTCCTCTCCAGCTGTGGCGGTGGGTCCTCCTGGGGGGGAAGCGGACCAGAGCCCCAGTGCAGCCCCAAGGAGGTCAGCTTCCTCCTCTGGGGGCGGGGCAGGAGAGCGGGCGGGGCGGGGCCGCCCTCTGTCAATCATCGTAGTAGTAGTCCAGCTTGGTGAATACAGTCTTGCAGCCTTTGTCAGAGTAGACTCTCTCGTCCTTGGGGAAGAACGTCATCTCGTCGGCCACTCGGCTCACGATGTCCTCGTCCACCTCATAGCCCCGTGCCTGCATCTCGACCCGGATGCACATCTTCACGTGCTTGTACTCAAGGGGCAGGAAGGGCACGAAGTAGTCAATGAGGTTCCGGTCGATCAGGCTGCTGTGCCAGAAGCCACCTGCCGGGAGACAACAGGTGCTGCGTGCTCACAGTCGGCTGGGCCGGACCATCGGGCACGTAGCTGTGGAGCGGCGCCGGGCACCTGAAGTGCCTATCCAAGGAGCAGGGCAGAGGAGCCCCACAGCAATGCCAAGACATGATGCTGCCCCAGGGCTGGGTGCCCGAAGTGGGGAGGGGAGGATGCTCAGAGCCCAGAGTGCCCAGCACCGAGGGCCCGGCAGAGGGAACAAGCTGGCTCCCAGGTGGGCAGTTTCAAGGAACTGAGAGGAGAGGAGGTTCCAGGGAGAGGCTGGGCAGGACACACCCCTTCACCCTGGTCACTGGAGTGTGTGTGTGTGTGTGTCTCTGTGTACCAGCCACGGGTGTGTGGCGCAGGAGCCCATGCCTCCCACAGGGCCTGGCTCTGCATCTGCCCAGTCCTGCCCCCATGCAACACAAGTTCTCTCTTGCTTAACCGTTGGGCACCCAGCATCCCACAGCATTTCTCTTGAGTTTTGTGGGGATTTTGTTTAAGGATATACTTATTGGGACCAGTGCAATGGCTCAACTGGCTAAGCTTCCACCTCCAACTGCCAGGATCCCACTGGTTCAAGTCCTGGCTATTTCACTTCCCATCCAGCTCCCTGCTTGTGGCCTGGGAAAGCAGTGGAGGACGGCCCAAAGCCTTGGGACTCTGCACCCATGTGGGAGACTCTGAAGAAGTTCCTGGCTCCTGGCTTCAGATCAGTTCAGCATGGGCCACTGTGGCCATTTTAGGAGTGAACCAGGACATGGAAGATCTTTCTCTGTTTCTCCTTTTCTCCATACATCTGCCTTTCCAATAAAAAACAAGCAAGTCTTTTTTTAAAAAAAGTACTTACTTGTTTGAAAGCCAGAGTTACACAGAGAGAGAAGGACAGCCAGAGAATCTCGCTCAGTGGTTGGATTCCTGTGGCTCTGCTCCCAACCCTAGCTCTGTGCGTCCCTGCCGCCCAACACAACTCCTGACCACCCGCTCAGGCTCCAGCTGTGGTGTGGACAAGAACTGCCCACTGAACCACAGCTGGTGGGATGCTGCCCACGCATCACCAGCTCTCACCAAGGCCTTCCCAGCAAGGAGCACACTGGGCCCCAGGGATGGAAAAGAGAGCTGGCCCAGAATGGACGCTGCCCACGCTGGCCCTGCCATCCTAGGTGAGGGGACAGGCAACAAACAAGCGCGCACACACACATACACACACGTGGTGCTGGGAGGCCCAGGATGTGGGACAGCCAAGGAGCAGGCACTCAGGGGGTTAGGTGAGGCCTGGCTGGGGAGGCGCCCTGGGACAGACCATGCCAAAACAGGAAGCAAAAGCGGATTGAGGAGCCTGGGTCCCAGGGCCATGAAGCACCTGCTGCCAAGGCCAGCCCTGCATCTCCCACCTGCCTGCTTCCCTAGCAAACAAAATCCAACCTCCTGCTCCACACCTCTGCTGGGGGCCCCTTCCCAACCACGAAGCCAGGCCCTCGATTCTTCTCTCTCCTTCCCACCTGCAGCCCTGCCAGTGTTCTTTGCTGCCCCTTCCAGGACAGCTGGAAGCCCATCACCTCTCCCCACCCTTATGGCCACTGCTCTGCCTACCCCATCCCTTCCTACCTCTGGTCCATCGAACAGCAGCTGGGGTCCTGCAGCTCACACCCCTGCTTGCTACTTAAAAACTCTCAGGCCAAACCCAACGAATCAACCCTTAGGGTCCCGCCCTAAAGTCAAGCCCTCCCACCCAGAGTGCAGTTTATGGGCCCCAGCACCCCCACACTCACCCATAGCTTCTTCTCCTCTGCGGGGCACAAGCCCGTGACCTAGAACCACCTGTGTGTGTAGGGGGAAGGGCTGGTTCTATGTCTAAGCGTGTGAGCACGGGCACACGCCACCTCCTGCCATCTGACGCATTTGACTGGCAGCAGGCCCTCTCCAGGGACAGGCAGGATTTAGTGCACGACTCAGCCACTCCCCATCAGCTTGGTTCTCCACCTCCTCAGCAGGGTGCAAGGTCGGAGGCAAGCAGGACCTTAGTCGGAGAAGTGCTGGGCTGCAGGTTACAAGCCCGGGTTCTGGAACCTCTGAGAGACACCTGAGGGGCAGCCTCGGCAGTGTGGCAGCTTTCCCGGGTCGTGGAAGGAAGGTTGAAGGAAATGAGCAAGTAGTTCCTCAGGCAGGCTCAGCCCAGAGGACGGACCCGGCCACCAGGTGGCGCTCTTGCTGGGCGCAGGCCACCAGGCTTTAGGGCAGGAGGCCTGGCGGTCACCTCTGCTGGCACCCACTTCCTGGATCACCACCTGCTCTGCTCCACCAGCAGCCGAAGAACTGGACAACTGCCAGGTTCTCCCCATAATCCACACGCTCTGCTCACACATGCCCCCCAGAAGGGATGACGGTGACCAATGCGTGCCGACCGAGGGGCGCACTCACTGTTCTTGTTGTTGAAGACGGACACGGACAGGGCATGCTCCATGTCCTTGAGCCTGATGTCCTCCCTCTGCCGTCCGCTCCGCCAGAAGTCCAGGGCCACGTCTGTGATCCTCTCGGCACCAGCATTGCTGCAAGATGTGCCCCGGTGGGCAGGAAGGGTCACAGCCCTGCTCACCCACAGCGAGGAGGGACCCCACGCGTGTGGCCTCTGGCCCCCAGGCGTCTTACCTGAGGAATATGAAGATGGCCTTCTGATAGGAGACCTCGTCCACCACGTCGTAGTAGTCCAGGAAGGGCTTGATGGCGTCGATGAGGCCGGCGTGCATCTTGTCCATCTCATCGAATATGAAGATGGACCGGGCACAGGCACTCACGTTGCCCCGGATCCACTGCTGTAACTGGTCCTGTGTGATCGAGGGGAAGGGGGCGCAGTCAACGGGAAGGGGCAGGACAGCCAGTAAGGGAATTTCCTCAGCTTACCAAAAAGTACAAAATGAGCATTTGGCAGAGCCTGCCACAGAGTCAACCTGGCCCTGGCCCTACCCTGATCCCAGGCCCCACAGTGAGGTGGTGAAGTCCGGTGTACCACAGGTGTCCACTGCAACACCACGCCCCATCACTCCCACATCAGCCTGCAAGGATCCTCTTGTTCATATCACTGTCTGCTGGGGCCCCCCAAGCCTTTCACGCTGTGTCCCTGCCCTTCCAAAGACAAGGGAGCCAAAGGAATCGGCCCAAAGTCCCACAGGTGCCTCTGGGAACCTAGCTCGGAGCAGCGATGAACTCCGAGTTCCTTGTCCTAGCTCTGAAGGCCCAAAGGCATTCTGGGAGCTCCAAGCGGCAGGCAGAGGAAGAGCACACACGCCTGAGGGAGGCTCAGACAGCCCCCCTTCTGCCCACCCTGAACGACTACAGCCCGGATCTGCAAATACGAAAGTTAACCTTTGCCTGCTGCCAGGCAGGGCGATGCCCGGGCAGTTTCCCCAGCAGCCAGCAGGCTCAGCCAGCTATGTAACCTCCCCACCCGGCTGGCGGCTGGGACAGCAGGGCAGGCCTATTTAACATTAACCAGTAACTGGCTCAGCGAACAGCAGTTAAGTCAAACACAAACAAGGGCACAGAATGAATGAGGTGCAGGCTTCTCCCATGTGGATCCCTAAAACGCAGCTGAGTACAGGTAAGGGGGAACCCTAAATGGGCGCCAAGCCCTGCTGGGGTGACCACTTCTCCCATCATACTCGCAAAGAGAAACTGAGGTTCAGGGCTCACCCCAGGTCCCTGCCTACCGCCCCCTCAAGCAGCACCCCCCAGGGAGGGGTGCAGGCTCCTGAGCTTGCCTTGTACAGGCTGACGTTGGAGGCGTGCGGGAAGTGCAGCGTAGCCACGAACAGGTGCACATAGTCGCTGTTCAGCCCCCCCTCGTATATGTTGTCAGCGATGATCTTGCTGACGAAGTTCTTGCCCGTGCCCGTCCAGCCGTGCAGGGAGAGGGTGAGGGGCTTTTTAGGCTTGTGGTTACTCAGGAAACCGGCCACGGCGTTCAAGATGACCTTCTTGGCCAGGTGCTGGCCGAAGAGCTTGCTGTCCAAATCCTTCTGCAGTGCTGCGAGGGACGAGGCCGGAGGAGGGGGTGGGTGCAAAGCGCCCGGCCGCCAGGCCCAGCCCGCGCAGGGGCAGCATCGTGTCAAAGAGGGAACTGCCATCCGGGAAGTCGCTAGGGCCAGCCAAGCTCCTGGCTGCCCATGGCAGGGGCGAACCCCCGGACCTGCACCTCAAGGCCAGGGCGGGCCCTCCCCCTCCCGCCCTGCTCCCCAGAGCAAGGGGTGAGCCCTCCTACCAGGCTCCCCGAGGGCAGGGTGAACCCTCCCGCCCTGCCCCCCAGGGACAGGGTGAACCCTACACACCTGCTCCCCGAGGCCGGGTGGACCCCAGGCCCGCCTGTCTGCCACTCCCACCCAAGACCAGCCCCGTCAGGGACTGGACGCGCAGCCCCACCGCCCCGGGTCCCCCGGCCTGGTCCAACCGGCAAGGAGGCGGAGCTCCTGCAAGGATGCCCGCGAGCTGCCCACCGCCCCGGCGTCCCTGCCGCTGGCCGCCACCCGCCGTCTGCCTGCCTACCCTCCCGGTTGAGGCTCCGTCTCTGGCCGCAGCACTCGGCGAAGAGGCAGTAGAGGCGCGGGTAGGAGATGTAGCCGGTGAGGACGCTGGCCAGGGCCAGCCCCAGGCTGATGGGCTCCACCGCCCGCACCACCGACGGCGCCAGCAGCAGCAGGCCCAGCGCGGCCCGGTCCAGCTTCATGCCCAGACCCGCGCCTCTCTGCGCGTCCCTTGCGGCCCGCCCGGTCGGCGCGACCGCCACACACGCTCTTCCGGTTCCTCCCGCCGCCGGCGCCGCCATCTTTGCTCGGGGTCAGCTTATATAGAGCTCTGCATGACGCCATGTTTTTTAGGGGCAGAGTGACTTCCGGTTTCCGGAAAGTCGGTTCCGGTGAGCAGCCAGTGAGGAACTAAGTTTTGTTTTGGGGTGTGTGTGTGGTGTTTTTTTTTTTTTTTCCCCAGAAACGATGCAGATGAGTTTTAAGTGCAGTTTGAGTTTATGGAAAAACTGAGGTAGTACAGACAAATCCCGTAAGTCACAGCCCCACAGCGCGAAGGACTAAGCTGCCCACTTGCTCCATCAGTACATACTTGCTCATTTATACTTAAGCGTGTAAGTCCTCGGTTTGTTTCAGTTGGTTCCTTGTGTTCCCTTGACATACATCCAATATGCGTGAGTGCTTTTTAAGCTTTTTAATTTATTTGTACAAAAGCTGGGGTGAGAGGCTGGGCCTGGCCAAAGCCAGGAGCCAGGGAATCTGTCCCGTGTCCCACATGGGTGTGGACCATTCTCTGCTGGTTTCCCAGGTGAATTGGCAGAAAGCTGCATTGGAGGTGGAGCAGCCCGGATTTGAACAGTGCCGAGATGGGATGCTGGTATTGCAAGACGCTGCTTAACGTGCGACACCACAGCGCTAGACCCCCCACTGTCTTATAGATGAGAAAACAGGGCACGCTCAGCAGTGGGCAAGGCTCAGACCACGTCTCAGCCCAGGTGGGGACCCCAGCCAGCCGGCCAGAGCAGATCACATCTCCCAGATCTCAGTAACCCAGTCTGCATTGAAGCCACCAGCCCTCGGCTGAGTGTTACCGGATGTTGCTTCGACAGAACAGACTGGAAGGCTGTGTCCACTTTGATTAATCCAGAGCTGAAAGTGTTAGGAAAGGCCACTGTGTAACAGCCCAGAGACGCCAGTACCCTGTGACGTCCTGCAGATGGAGGCTGGGGCCGCCCCGTGCTGAGCCAAGCAGGCTGCGCCTTCCCCAACATGAACGCGGGGCACGTGCCATTTCAGCAAACACCACGAACACACGGCGACCACCCCAACCCAGAACAAAGCCAGGGAAAATCAGTGTATTTACAAACAAGATTTAATAATGCAGTTTGTCCCTAAAACAGGCAAACCAAACATCGGTTTATTCCAAAAGTTGACAGATTGCGGGCTTGCCCCTGCTTGCCCCAGGTCAGCCAGCACTGTCTGTGTTTGGGAAGAGGCTCCTGTTCCGGGTGGGGTGCCATTGCGGCCCCTTCCACCCAGCTCAGTACCGTCTGTTCATCTTCTTGAACTTTTCATAGTGGTAGTCATCTGTGGCCTTCTCGTTGGCAGGACGCTTGCGATTAGGAGGGGACCCTGGGGGCAGAGGACAGCATGGGCTGCCTGCTGTGCCAGTACCCACCCACGGCAACACCCAGCAGCCTCTCCCAGGGCGCCCCAGAGCCTGCACAGTCGGCCTCAGTGAGTGCCCGTCATTGCACTAACTTGTCATTCACGGTTGCTGATGGCAGTTTGCTCCTAGGCTTGCCAGCCTGGGCATCGGAAGGGCCCCCCACGAGGGCCCCGCTGCCCTCCAACCTTCCCAGGAGAAGCCCGAGGCTTAGGAAGGGCCAGGTGGGCGTGGTCCAGAGTGGGACCCTGCAGCCAAGCTCTGTCCCCACCCAGCCACTGCGGGGGCTCCCCCAGGTCCCCCTGGACTCACGCTCAGGCTCCGGCTTCTCCGTGTCGCCCACTCTCAAGGGCCGGGCTTTGGGCTCCTCCTTATTTCTCCGGATGGGGGCATTGAGCTCCTCGTGATAAACTGACCAGGAGAGAGCAGCGCCCATCAGGCAGGATGTGGGGCTCCGAGAGCTGCCCCCCAGGAAAGGGGGTGGGACAGGGCGCTCTGGGCGCTTGCCCGCGGGGAAGGGGGTGGGGCATGGGGCCCCGGAGCCCCCCCCCACAGGGGCGAGGCTGCCCTCCCCAGGCACTCACAGCGGTTGTGCTGCACATAGTTGACTGCCATGTTGGTGGGCACAAAGGACGTCTCACTGTCCTTTTTCTTGTTCTGCTGCTCGGCCAGCAGGCGGGCCTTGGCGTCCTCCGTGGAGATGATGTTCTTGATTTTAGCGCTGCCGGGAGAAAGGGGCCATGCCTGCAGTTAGTTCACGGCCTATGGGGCAGCGCTGGCCACCTGGGGGCAGGATGGGGGGGCAGGCTAGGAAAGAGGGGCTCCCAAACCCTCCTCCAACCAACACTCCCCCTCTCGTGCCCATGATGATTTCTTCCCTCTGGATAGCAGACACCTGACAGCCAGAAGGAAAGGAGGCTCAGGAGGCTGAGGGCGGGAGTGGCCATGAGCAGGCTGAGCGCCTCCCCGCCAGAGCAGCACTGGGGGCCCAGTGCCTACTCAAGGGAAGCTGCTGAGCGCCCCCCCCCCCAGCACCTACTCGATGCCCAGGTCCACCTCGGGGATGCCACTGAGCATCTGGTTGGACAGCATCTCCTCCGTCCTCTTGGCCGAGGCCACGCGGATGTTCTCGGGCAGCTCGTAGAGGCAGTCCTCCGCGTTCTTGGCCTTCACCTTCTGCTCCTCGTGCTCCACGATGCCTTTCCGCTTCTTGAGCTCCGTCTCGATGTACTTCATCCTGGAGTGGGGACAGGCGGGGCTGGCCGTGGGCAGCTGCCGAGGGACCAGCTTGGCCCTCACACCTGGCATTCCCCGTCACAGACACCCTGGGCTTTTTCTCTGTGTTACAAATTTCAGCCGAAAGGACTGGCCCACGGGAGACAGCCCAGTGGACAACATACAAAGTGGACAAGCTGGGCTTCCTCCCTGCTGGGCGTGGGGTCAGTGTGGTTAGCAGAGGCATCGTGAGCAGCCCGCCCGTCACCTACATGTCGGCGTCCTCGTCCCTGCGGTTGGTCTCTGCCGAGAATGACGTGCCCAGGTGCAGGTCTTCCTCCTCGCTGATCCTGCAGGAAGAGGGCGGGGCAGCCAGAAGTACCGTGGGAAACCACTGGCCTCCTCCACTGGCCCCCTACTGAAACACCAACTTCTGGAAACTGAACGTGTCAGCTTTGCGCATGTGTTGTTTTTATGGAACTTGCATGCGTCTTGTTCAGACAACGTGCGAAGCCGTCACTACAGGCCCCAGTCCTTGTAGCTCAGGGCTTGCTGTGATTTCTGCGTGTCCCCAGGAGGCTGCGTGGGGACATTCCTTCCCCATGGTCAGCTCATAAGGGGGCAGAACCTCGACCTGCCCAGGGTCCTCAGAAGGAGATCTGTGGGTTCAGACAGGAGGATTGGGTGATGTCACTGGAGTGGGGCGCCCAGGATGGGATCCTGGTGGCTTTGTGAGAAGAGACAGAGGGACCATGTGCTGCCTGTCCTGTCCCTCCTGGGTGGCGCTCGGAGCCACCTGCAGCCACCACCAGCTGCAGGTCCTGGATAACAGACATGAGTTCAGTGACACAGCCTCAGGAATCCTGCTAGAGTGAGGGGGAGTGACTGAGCTGCAGACTTGGTTTCCCAGCCACACACCCTGCACACCCACCACAGCTATGCCTGGACGTGGGACAGCCAGCTGCAGCCGTGCGGCGGGTTAGGGTCCATAGGGCAGCTTAGGGCCCACAGGGCAGCCAGTCCCACTTTGCAGCTTAGGGCCCACAGGGCAGCCAGTCCCACTTTGCAGCTTAGGGCCCGCAGGGCAGCCAGTCCTGTACTTACTTCTCCTTGCCCCTTTCCTTCAGCTTCTTCATGTCCACCATCCCGCCGGTCTTCATCTGGAAGGGGTCATCCTAGGAAAGGCAGACAGTGAGGAGGAAGCCCCAAGGGGCCCGGGGCAGTTGCCACAGGAAGGTCGGCCCCTAACACTCACCACCAGTGTGGTCTCCTCTTGCACCTTCTCTCCCACCAGCAGGGCGGCAGCACTGAGTAACACCAAAAGAGAACAGAGGGGAACGATGCAGGGGGACCGATGCAGGGGGACCGTGGGGGAGGTGTGGAGGTCAGGACTTACTTCAAGGGTGGCCTGGGAAGACAGTCAAGGAAGGCCCACAGCGTTGGGACCCTGCACTAGCACAGCAGACCTGGAGGAGGCTCCTGACCCCTGGCTTTGCATTGGCTCAACTCTGGCTATTGCAGCCACTTGAGGAGTGAACCAGCAGATGGAAGATCTTTCTATCTCTCCTTCTCTATAAATCTGATCTGCCTTTCAAATAAAAATAAATAAATCTTCTAAAAATGTGATCTTAAAACATTACTGATTTGAAAGCAGTATTGCAGAAGACAGAGGGGGAACATCTTCCCTCCACTGCTTCATTCCCTAGGTGACCACCCTGGCCAGGGCTGGGCCAGTTCAAAGCCAGGAGCTTCCTCTGGGTCTCCTACTTGGGGTGCAGGATCCAAAGAAATAAGGCCACCTTCTGCTGCTTTCCCAGGCACCGCAGCAGAGAGCTGGATGGGAAGTGGAGCAGCTGGGACTTGAACTGGCATCCCTGTGGGAGGTTGGGAGCTGCACCTGCTGCCACTAGCTGACCGCCTCTGTAAGCGGTTTTTTTAAGCTTATATCAAAGTGCTCATAATGTTGAGGTGCAAGAAAAGGAACAGTAAGCGCGATCGCTCGTTAGCTGTGAGAGAACCATGTGTTGTTGTTTATTCAGATTCTAAACCAGGAATGCTCATAACACGATCGGGTATGATGAAAAGAGAGAGAAAGGGTGAGTGACCCGCGCAGGTCCCCGCCCACCTCACGCCGTTGGGCCTCTTCCTCAAGTTCTGCACCTCTCGGGTCTCCTCCAGCTTCAGCCTGCAGACAAGGACGACGTGCAGGCTGAGACATGTCCACTGCGTGCCTCGTCCGGGGTCCCCCAAGGCCCGCTGCCAGTGTCCGGCACGGCCGTCCCGACCTGCGCCCGGGCCCCCCGCACAGACCCAGCAGCACGCAGCCGCTCCTCCCCGAGGCGCCTCCATTTCTGCATCCCCGACTCTCCGCGTGGACACTGGTCAGCGCCCCTACAGACACCCCGGCCGCGGCAGCCTAGTCCCCCCCGCCAACGCACCGAACCTCCTCTGAGTCCTGTTCATCTTCCTCCGACTCCGAGTCGACTCGGCGCCGGCGGAAAGTCTTGCCGGTGACCGGCATAGCGGCAGCGGGGCCCGCCGTCCAGCAGCCCCGCCGGGCCGCTCCGGGGAACAGTGGCGGAAGGCTACTTCCGGCGCGGCGCAGTGCTGTCAGAGCGCAGGCCCCGCCCTCGACCCGCCGGTCCCGCCCCCAGCCCGCGGCCGTCCGCGTGGCCACGCCCCGGTCGTGGAGCAGACCTCTTCTGATTGGACCGCTGAGGGGGCAGGGGGCGGGGCGGGTCCGCGCGACCCTGAGCTGCGCGGCGGAGGGCTCGTTTGAGTGACAGGCGGCGGCGGGGCCGTGGGGACCGGCAGGTGAGTTCCGGGCCGCCTGCGGCTGCTGCTTGCTGGGCCAGCCGGGCCTTTCCTTCAGGAGCGACCCTCGCTGGCCCCGGGGCTGGCCCTGACAGAAGCGCCCGACGCGGCCGCGGCCAGGTGAGCGGGAGCCCGGGTCCCCGCCCTGGCCGCCGCCCCTTGTCTCCGCTGCGGCCGGCGCGGGTGGGGAGCGTCGTGGGGCCACGGCTCCCCACTTGGGAGGCCGGAACAGCGCGCCGGCCTTGGGATTTCTTGCTGCAGCGGCCTGACCCGGCTTGTGCGTGGCGTCTCCAGGGGGAGGGAATGGAGCTGACGCTCGCTTTTTGTTGTGTTTTTCTTGACGGGGTCTGAAAGAATGGCTGTGGGCGGTCTCTCTCCAAGCGGGTGTCTGGGAGGGGGCTCCTGGACCGGGCTTTTCGCCGACCTGGGTTTGCTCCCTTGGGGGGTGGGTGGCTCCAAGGTTCGCCCCACCCCCTCCTCCCCTACAGGTGCAGGGAGCCCCCAGTTGCTTTGGAAAACGGATATCCTGGCCTGCTTGCCCTGCTTGCCCTGCTTGCCCTGCTTGCGGGGGAGCCCCTCGGTGCCCGGCGATGGCGTCCACCAGGCTGCCTCTGGGTTGGGCTGGGCCTGGGCACCCCTCTTTGGTTATGTGGCTTCCTACGTGGCAGGCTCTTGGAATTCCCTCAAAATCCCCTGCGATGGACGCAATGATGCTGAAGGAGGGGCCGTTCCTGCTGCCCCGCACCCTAGGCGATGCTGGCTGCTGCGGCAGTGGCACCAGCAGGACTACCCACTGGCTGGGGGTGGGGGTGGTGCCCCGCCATGGAGGATGGCTCTGCAGCTGGGCAGCGTCTAGAATGTTTGACGCTTCTCCAGAAGGTCCTCCTGGGAACCAGCCGGAAAGGAGGCCCAGGGCTTCTTGGAATAGGCTCTCGGCCTTGGTCACAAGCCATTGATCCCAAGTTGCCAAGGCTTGCCTTCCACAGACTGGTTCGGGCAGCCCTGGATGCACACGGCCCTAGCCAGACACTGTGTCTGCCGCCGGCCAGCTCAAGGGTAGGGGCACCCAGGGAGGGTGGCTGCAGCTGCCCATCTGCCCACTCAGAACCCTCCCAGTAGGGGGATCATGCCAGAGTGGGGGGGCAGTTCTGGAATCTTCTCTACATTCTCCGGCACCTGCAGGGCTCTGGAAGTGACAGCGGTGACCTGCAGGGACTGTCCAGGCTGAAGGGCTGCGGGACCTTTGATTTGGGAAGGGGGAAATGATGAGTGGCTGTTTCTTGGAACTCTGGGGTTCCACTCAGCATGGAGCTGGAGTTTGGGGTCCAGTTTGTCCAAGGAGGTGTGGGCTTGGCCTAGGGTCCGCGTGGTTCCTTTCTGCTGGTTCCAGCCCAGAGCTCAGTGGACCTACTGCTGGCTCGCTGGGTTCAGGGGCTGTGGGGGTGGGTTTGGGGCCCGCGGTGTCTGGCCTGACCCTGGTGAAGGAGTCACTAAAGGCTCGTTGGGTTTTGGGGTGCTTATTCACGGATACATGCTGAGCATTTACCACAGGACGCAGCCACTGTTCACATGAGGTATGGTTAGCGCACGCGCAGGAGAGAGAGCATGCCAACTTAGGGAAGTTGATGTTTAACACGTAACATGCATAGAGCAGAATGTTCTGGTAAGCGCTTTGGAAGAAATAGAAGACAGGAGAGGAAGAGGTGTGAGAGCAGCGTGTGCTGTTGGCCAGTTGGAAGGTGACACAGCAGATGAGCGCTGCGCTCCAGGCCCGGGGTACCAGTCCTGCTGTGGCAGTGGGTGTGAGCAGGGTGCAGCCCACCTGGGACTCCAGCATCCCGCAGCGGGGCTGCCCGGGTTCAAGCCCCAGCCCAGCTCCACGTGAGAGACCTGGACTGAGTTCCTGGTCAGCCATGACTCAGTCCTGCCTGCTGTGGGGGCATTTGGGGCGTGAATCAGCAAATGGGAAATTCTCTCTCTGCCTTTCAAATCAATCAATAATTAAGAGGATTCTCGAGGAAGACATGAAAGTCGAGCAGAGATATTTAAAGATACAGGAAAAGGACAGTTCTCTTTGGCAGCAACGAGCAGACATGGGTCCCCTACATAGAAAGTTCTGGAAAGCCCAATTCCGTCTACTGTAAAGACTCGGATGGCGAGTGTTGCTCTGGGAAAGGCATGATGCTAGCCTGGGCAGTGTGAGGTCTTCCCCGGGAGGAGGGCGGCTGCCCTTCAATCCCGACAGGTGCAGCAGACAGTTCCTGTTCCCTGTACAGCCCACATCGAGTTCGCCTTCTAGAAGCTGCAGGGCCCCTGGCTCTATGACGTGTGGGTCTAGGTCTGCCTGAGTCAGCTCTGCTGCCTAACCTGGTGTGGGAGGCTTCCCATGGCCAGCCCCTGCCCTTGGCACAGTGACTACCAGAGGGCACCCCAACGTGGTGATCTCGCCCATAAAGTGACTTAGGGAGCCCAGAGCAGAGGGTGGGGCCGTGACGTTACTCCGCTGGATGCCAGGTGGCTGGGCTGTCCAGGGACCCGCAGCTCAGAGCTGGAGACCCTACCTTTCTTGATGGGAGTGGGTTTAGCCCCAAGATGGGCTCACAGGAAATTGAAACCAGGTTAGGGGAAGGGGAGGGATGTGTTTGGAACTGGAGTAGGGGTTTGGGGATGGAGATGAGAGGCAGGAAGCAGGGCGAGGGGTGGGTTCTGAGCAGCAGGGGGAGGATGCGGGGTTGTGGGGGGGGGGAGCAGAGCAGGGCAGCCAGGGCTGGGTGGGAGGCTCCACAGTGTCAGGTTCCGGCTCCTCCCTGGGGAGAAGGATGGACCACAACTGGGAGAATGATGAGTGTGGCGCCAGGACTGATGAGCCATCTGCTTGTCAGGGCGGAGTCCTCGCTGAGTGGCCGTCCCGCCCAGAGCCCACCTCAGCCCCTCGGCTTTGTCCCCGTGAGGCCAGGCTGCCCAGCGGGAGGAAAGAGCTCCCTGTCCAGGCAGAAAGCCTCTTGGGTGTGTCGTTGGGGCCAGGCCGGTGTCTGCCCCAGTCCTGGCCCTGCCTGCTTTCCCCCGTTCCATCTGCCCCAGGAGAGGAGGGTGTGGGTGGCTCCATGGTGAGGTGCACCCCACCCACCCGCTGTGGTCCAGCCCAGCACCTTGCTGCCTCAGCCCCTCTCCTGGGACCCATCCCTGGGTGCTTGGCACAGTGCCACTGTCCCCTTCGTCCTTTTCCGAAGGAGTCCCGGTGTGAGGGACAGGCTGTAAGAGCAGACACGACCCGCCCCTCGCCAGCCGCCTGGCTCTGTGGCCTCAGGCACGGGTTTCCTTCCTCTGCAGCAGGAGACTGAGCGGTCGTGAGTATTCAACAAGGGGCAGGTGGCGCCCGGGTGGGACACGTGGGGCTGCAAGCTCCGTGTCTTGTGAGGGGGCTGCTTTTCCATGCTCCCACCCCTAGTGAGATAAAGGGAATCTCTCTCTACCACCCCTCCCCCGTTTTTTAAAATATAGATTTATTTATTTAAAAGGCAGAGTTAGTGGGCCTGGTGCAATAGCCTAGTGGCAAAAATCCTTGCCTTGCATGTGCCAGGATTCCATATGGGTGCCGGTTCTAATCCTGGCAGCCCCACTTCCCATCCAGCTTCCCTGTGTGTGACCTGGGAAAGCAGTCGAGGACGGCCCAAAGCTTTGGGACCCTGTACATGTGTGGGAGACCCAGAAGAAGCTCCTGGATCGTCTCAGCTATGGCTGTTGTGGCCACATGGGGTGTGAAGTAGCAGATGGAAGATCATTCTGTCTTTCTCTGTAAATCTGCCTTTCTAATAAAAATAGGTTTTCAAGAATAAATAAATAAAAATTAAAAAAACAAACAAACAAAACCTAAGAGGCAGAGTTAGAAAGGAAGAGAGAAGGTCCAGTACGATGACTAAATCCTCACCTTGCAAGTGCTGGGACCCCACATGGGCGCCAGTTCGTGTCCCAACTGCTCCACTTCCCACCCAGCTCCCTGCTTGTGGCCTGGGAAAGCAGTCGAGGACGGCCCAAAGCCTTGGGACCCTGCACCCACGTGGGCAGACCCGGAAGAGGCTCCTGGCTTCGGATCAGCTCAGCTCTGGCCATTACGGCCACTTGGGGAGTGAACCGTTGGATGGAAGATAATTCTCTGTGTCTCTCCTTTTCTGTAATTCTGATCTGCCTTTCCAGTAAAAGTAAATCCAATCTTTAAAGTGCCATGTGAAAGGGATGGGGCGGAGCTGGCAGGGGGATTATGGGGGGTGGTTCCCCTGCTGGACAGCTACTCCCACTGGAGAGCGTGAACTGGGTTGGGGCAGACCAGACTAGGCAGGGATACAACACCTGTGTGCCTCATGTGGACTAGATCAGGGAAAAGCTTGGCTGGGCTGATTATTCCTACTGGTGCAAACAAAATTAGAGTGGGTGAGGGTTGTTTGGGCTTAGCTACAGCATCAGCTGGCAGAGACTGGCACTGGGGGCCCCAGTTCTGTCAAGTCAAACCACAGACCCACCGGGAAAGTGCATAGTCTGGGAGAGAGGACTGGGAGGGAAATAGTGGGCTCCTCCCTCTTGGGTTACCATTCCCACTGGAGGGCACAAAAACCAGGACAGGGGGTGGGGTGGCTGGACAGAATGGCACTCACCAGCATCTGTATGGGCTGGACAGTTGGGCTGGTTGGGTTGAACTAGGCTTCAATGCCCATTGACATGTATGAGAGCTGAATGGGATGTGGGACAGACTGGACAGTCTGCTGCACATACTGACAAACCAGGGTAGTGGGTGGGCCTGGTGGGGGTTATTGTGGGTCGCTCCGACTAGGCTGCAGCTCCCACTGGTTTATGCGAGGGCCGAGTGTGTGCTGGGCAGAACCAGGCTGGACTGCAACACCCATTGGTTCCCGTGGAAGTCGGGACTGAAAACAGAACCAACCCAGCCATTGCAACCAGCAGCTGATCGGGCTGATGGACTGTGCCGGGCCCTGTAATTGCTAGTGCATACAAGAATCTGGGAACACCTCAGACAAAGTTTCTTTGGGGATCTCCCCAACCGAACTGCCGGACTCAGAACCCTAACCAAGAAAAGACAGAGGACAGAACAAGTCAATCAACCACCT